AGTGAAAATCACCCCTTTTATGCCATGTGTCAATACCATCTCCTCCCATTTTCGTTTCATCACTTTTCTATCTCCGCCCTCATTACCACCTTTACCGTGCATGTGCCACCACTCGGTTTGGTGGTCGCACAAGTCTCTTGGGGGTCATCTGATGAAAATTTCGTAGTCTTCCTCTGTGTCCTTTAATTCACCTTTGGGTTACACATGCGCACCAAGCCAATACAATGTAAGCCAAGACTAACATATCACTGCATCTACATATCAAGGCAATAAATCCCTTATAATTAGCATTTTCTGTGACTCATCCAGGTTTTTGCTCATTTTTAGCCACTGTATCTTCAGCTTCTTTCCTGTGGTCCTTGAGAATATCTGCTAGGAGGGCGGGGGGGTGGAGCCCCTCACCTCCCTCTCTTCTTTGACATTACAACTTTTAACTATTTTATTATTCCCAAATATTAATTCCTGTATCAATATTGATTACTGTTTCAATTTTTATCAGCACGAATCATACCTATTTGTCACAAGTCCCTCATTTCTCTTCTTGATCATTATGATTCGTGCTTTATTAAAAAACTATGCCCTGATATCTTCTATATTTTTCAGAATTTTGGTTTTCTCGTTGTCTCTTTTCAGCTTCAAACTTTTCCAGCATTTCTGTTATTGCCTCTTGTCTTTCACACTCTCTTTCAAGTTTAGTTAGCATTTCCTGGTCTATTGCAATCTTTTTAGGTCCTTGTTCTTTATCAGGGGTCGATTTAGCTTTTAATACCATTATAGATCTTGGTTTTCCTTTTTCTGCTGATTCTGAATCTAGAGACATTGTTGTAATCTGCATCCCCTGAATCACTGAGTGAATTAGCCTAATAAAACACAAAATCATACAAGGCAGAAACAGAAGTTCCAGAATTGAGCATAACAACATGAACTCTAACTTTTTCCTCCAAACACTTCCAAAGAGGTTACCCCACCAATCTGCTTTCAAGATTGAATTCCACTTTTGTACCGGCACATGAGCCACTCTCTTAATTTCCTCTGCAAGTTCTATGATAGCGTCCCCATAATTATCAATTTCTACACAGCACTCAACTTCATTAAATCTCCCACAAACTCCTCCTTCTTCTGCTAACTGATAGTCTAGGGCGATCCTGTTTTGGTACACAAACGCCTGCATTTGTGTATATTGCCTGGCCAACATTTTTAAGGCACCAGAGGCGTGATTTGACGCCACCTCCACTACTGCTTGGAGCCTTATTAATCAATTCAACAGGTAAATTGGGGTCTTATATCTCCATGACCCATCTTGAGCTCATGTTGCTGGGTCATAATATGCTGTAATTCTTTCTGGAGGCCATTCGTCCTCTCCCCATTTTTGATTCCCTCCTGCTGTTGGAAATTTAAATTCAAATCTCTTTTATTCCACTGCAGGGTTTCATACAGTGGAGTTCCTAGCACATTGCTCCTAGACCTCAGTAGAACAAAGAAGGAGGGTTGTATTACTCCCAAAGTACAGGTTCCTCCCCATTTTTGAGGTAACTCACTGTATGCTCGTTGCCCACAAATCCAATATATCCCATCTGGGGCTTTCCATTTCTTATCAGTTTTCTCTGGTTGTTCCCAATAAGACCTCATGCCACTGATGGATTGGTAGGGGTTAGCTCCAGGACTTCTGTACCAGCATAAATTAATCTGTTCATCCCATTCACAATATATTTCTTTTATTGGTCCCTAATATCCAACAGGGGTTTCAGGTCGCCAAATTTTTGAATGATTATCCATGTTAACCACTAATGTGGATTTACAAGGAGTATGCCCTACTATTTTATTAAATTTCCTTCCTTCTCGAGTTATACAAATGATTCCAATTACTTGATGGCTTAAAATCCATCCTTCAGGTCTCTTCAATGTTCCAGAAATTTGGGTGTGGTTCCACTTTAAAAATTTGCTCTGGAGCTAAGCTGTCACCTTTCCACGGCCAGCTTTCAGCCATTTTTAGACCTCCACAAATCCAACATTTGGATAATCCCAATTCTGTAGCAATCTCTTGCATCAGTCTCACAAACAGATTCTTCTTTGAGGCTGGCAAATCCCAATCTTTGTAGTACTGTTTTAGCTGTTTATACAATTCAGCCAATTCTGTTGACACTTTTGTCCTGTTCTTTCTTCTATTCCCCTTTGTTTCTTTTTCTTCTTATATTTTCTCTTTCAATTTTTCTTTTAGTGCCCGGTTTCCCATGCCTATACTTGGATCCTTTCCATTATTATTTCTTTCAAAACAAACGAATCTTTCATATTGACGGCAAATTTGATCACCATGGGGATAAGGAGCTCATCCATTATATCCCAAATTTTTCCCTACCCAATACATCTTTCCTTCCTTAATTCAAACATCTATAAAACTGCTGTGATTGTAGCAGGCAGAACTAACATACAGATGTGTCACAAACACAGATTCCATCTTGTCCTTAATCCACACAGAGTGATTGCAATAGTCACAAATGTTGAAACTGCTGGGACTTGGTTTTTGCCCTGTTTGCTTTTTCATTGCCGAAAAAGCCAGTGTGGCTCTCTGGCTTTGGCCAACTGCCCAGGGTACCAGAATGATCACAGTGAAAATAATCCTCAGGAAATCTGCCTTTCTACCTTTCTCAAGGCCCCTTGGGTTGCAACCAAGGGCCGAGATGCCAGTCTTCTCGGTAGCAAAGGTAATATCCTGAGATCTAGTCACTGGTGCTCTTGGTTTCCTTGGCACCCATAGCCCCACAGATTTTGCTTGTCCCTTTTTAAATGCCATTTCTCCGTTCTGGCTAGTTAAGAAGGAATAATTAAAATGAAAAGAACAGGGAAAAGGTTAGGCCGGAATACCATAAACCTGTATTTTCCAAAATTTCAGGGATGTGCTAACCACAATAAGATTTTTCTAATTATTTTCTACTTCAAGGGTGGGGAGTGCATTTAGTCGCTGCCTCCAATAGGCACACTTGCGGCGCCAATGTGCCCCCGAATGCGCCTATGATGTGGTATATAGACTTCTTCTCCACAACAACTATCAATTATGAGACACTGGTCTATAATATTATGAGTTGCTCGTTCTCTTATTTGTGCTATAGCAAATATAGCAAGAACCAATTGATCTAAGTTTTCTATTAATCCAATTGCTGCTGGAAGGGTCCTGTCTCCCAGTCTCAAAGATATCCCAAAAAAATCACTAGCAATGCATTCTATCGTTAGCTGGCTAAATACATAACCATAGCAAAACAAGCAAATCAATTGTCTCTCCTTCTCTTCCTTCTTAGTTACTCTCCACCATGAGTTAAAGCAAAGTGTGCAAACAATACATATCCATGGATGACACCTTAAACCATGTTTACCACACTCCCAACGTTTTACTTGTCTCTGAGCTCTTTTAACAACAGGTGTTATCAATCTCAGTTTCTGGAATGGCAGTTCTGTAATCAATTCTAATAATGTTGCTGGTGGGTGACCCTGGAGGAGATCTTCAATCTTTTTAGGCCGTTTCCACTGATTCAGAAAGTCTTTTTATTCTTTTCCACCAGCATTCTTCTGCCTCTGAGCTCTAGGGAATTGTGGTCAGCAACCACTCCAGGATGCCTAGTTCATTCTTAATAAATCGGGGTAATATAAATCAACTTAAATCCTACCATATTATCACATTCTTGGAATTTCGTGTTCCAACAATATTTTAGCTACCGTTTGAACTGTAGCCCGAGCTGCTAGAAATGCTTCAACCCACTGAGTTAATTGATCTATTTTAACTAGCAAATATTTCCACCGACCCACTTTAAGCAATTCTATAAAATCAACCTGGATATTTTCAAATAGCCTGTAGGTTGTTTTGCGTCCTCCAGATGGAGGGCTCCACAGCTTCTTCTTATTTACCTTTTAACAAGCGAGACACCCCTGGGTAATTTGCTTTCCAATTTCAAATATCCTTATACACCCATAAAATTTTAAAAAGTGATCACAAATGGCTCTTGTTCCGCAGTGTGTCTGTCTATGCAAGTTATCTAAGATCTGACGTGCCACTGGTTTTGGCATCATAATCCTGCCATCAGGAAAAAACCTACTTTCCCCCTCCTTAAATGGTGCTCCTTATTTCCTTATAGCTGCCAATTCTGCTAGCAGAAGGGAAAGTGTCTCCTGCTGAATTTCTATTTCTTGTAAGGTCATGATTTCAGTATCCGTTTTATTCTTAAGGTCGCTCTTTTTGCTTCTTCATCAGCCAGATTATTTCTTTCTAACTAATATTTTCTTTGGACCCTTTAAAGCTTCAAGTATCTGAATTATTAATCCCCCATGTACTAACCCTTTTGCTTGAGTGTTATAAGTCCCCTTTTCTTCCAAATTTTTCTAAAAGTATGTACTACACTAAAAGGCATATTTGGAGTCTGTATAAATAGTCTCTTCTCGCCCTTTTAATATTAATAATGCATGGAGTAATGCATAACTTTTGCAAGTTTGTGCTGACCAGGATGAACTAAGGGGACCAGACTCCTTTACCCCAGACTTTTTCCCACTTCACCCAAATGCCAACCCCTGTCATTAATTTCAGTTAAAGAATAAATTTTAAGTTTTCCTTCACAGGGTTTTATCTGTAAATTTAAGGCTATTATTAGATCTCTGCCTAACATATTATTCTCGGCCTCTGGTATCAACAATAAATCATTTACTCCAAATTTGTCATCTGTTTCAATTTGCACTGCTTTTATTACGGGAACAGGGAAAGCCTGTCCTGTAATTCTGGTTACTGGAACTCGCTCACAACTTATCTCACATCCCTGGGGTAATTTTGTCACTGTCGACCAAGAAACTCCTGTATCCACTAAAAATATAACTTCTTCACTCTGAGGACCTATTTTTAGCTTTATCAAGGGCTCTTCTGGTTGTATTTTGGTCCCCTTCATTAAACAGAACTCCTGACCTCTCTGATTCTCCTGAGAAATTTTCTCATCTTGCTGTTTCTTTCTGCAATTTCTTTCCAGGTGCCCCTTTTTATGACAATAAAAACAGGTAAGTCCTGCACCCTTTAAAGTAGGACAAGAATTTTTTTTAAGTGTCTTTTCTTGTGGCGGGAAAAATGCACAGGTCCTGTGTTCCTAAAAATAAATCCTGTTTGTTTCTCGCTGCAGATTTTTCTGTATTCAAAGCTGCCTGCATTTCTCTAACTGCCGCCACCAAAATTTTGGCATCTGCTTTCTGCTTTTTCTCATTTCTCTTTACAAACACCCTTTGTGCTTCTCTCAGTAACTCTTGAAGTCCCCTGTCCTGCCAGTCTTCTAATTTTTCCAGCTTTTTCCTGATGTCACCACAAGATCAGGTCACAAACTGAATTTTTAACAGAGCCTGCCCTACTGCAGTATCAGTATCTATACCTGAATATAATTGCAAGTCTCTTTTTAATCTTTTTAATCATTCTGCCGGGGACTCATATTTTTTCTGGTGCTCACTCAAAGCTTTTCCTATATTATGTCCCTTAGGCACTGCCCTCTGAATTCCTTGATTTTCTTCCCTTTGGGATTCCCATTCATCCCAAAACCGTATTATCATCCCCAGTGGGCTGTCCTGAGGAACGCTCCCCCCCTGAGAACCCCCCTCACGGTTCCCAGATACCTCAAACCACTGCGAATTTTTCCTACAATCCGCAGCCCCTGGGTCAAGGAACTTACTTTTTCCCTGACCCATTTCTGGCGGCAACAAACTAAGAAATCCCCCGTACCAGGAGAGTCTTAGTGGTCCCACACTCACCCGTGGCTCAGCTTCCTCACTTACTACTCTGTCCCACTGCTTTTTCAATCTACCTGTTCCACTCCTATGTCTCCCTCTGCAATCTACTTGTTCCACTCCTATCTCTCCCTCTTTCTCAATCTATTAGCCCCGTCCTCTCACCATCTAATCACATGCTAAATTGCCTGCTACCAACCCCTCCAAGGAAACTGAACCTATTCATTCACTCTCTCAGTCTCCTTAGTGAGTCAATCCCTCCTGCCCAAGGACCTTCCCACAGGTGCCTGGACCAGGGACCCCCTCCTTCCCCCTGGGTCAAACCCTCCCGGGGTCCCCACTCATTCACTTTTCTTTCGCTTCCCTCCTTTTCCGGCCGGTCTCCTCGCGGAGAACGCGAAAACGCGGTACTGGGAGGTCCCACTTGCTTTGGGGGTCTGGGACTGCCCAGCCCCCATCTCAGACACACCACACACACTCCCATACAGCCGCCCCCTGACCCAAAACCCCGTGATACTCACAGCCTCCTTTTCTCACGAGGGTCTTCGTGCACAAAGCAGTTTTCTATGGGTACTCTCTCTCCTATAAGCCGGCACTCTGATGGGAGACTCTCTTGCGTGCTTTTAATAACTAATTTGCTTATGCATTATTGTAATAAAGACTCTCTTTTCCCAAGGGAAGGGTGGTCTAGCTTTGGGACCACTTAAAAATCTGGTGAGGAGCTCCTTCCCAGAAACTATCCATGTCCCTGGAGTTTAGAGAGTCCCGGGTATCGGCACCAAAATTGTTATGTTTGCCCAATTATCCCATCATAAAAAAACCAAACAATATTAAAAGTAGTAACAATTTTAATTGAATAGTTAAAATAAAAAAAATATAAAATTGGATACAGTAGAATTTGATTAAAATAAGGAATAATTTGGTTCCAAGAATAGCGTATAAGCAAAAGATAACCGCACAGTACAGAGTGCAGGGTTCTGGGATCCTTGCCACATCACGTACAAGCTTGCCAAGTGAAAATTACCCCTTTTATGCCATGTGTCAATACCATCTCCTCCCATTTTCGTTTCATCACTTTTCTATCTCCGCCCTCATTACCACCTTTACCGCGCATGTGCCACCACTCGGTTTGGTGGTCGCACAAGTCTTTGGGGGTCGTCACTGATGAAGGCCCTGTAGTCTTCTTCGTTGTCCTTTAATTCACCTTTGGGTTACACATGCGCACCAAGCCAGTACAATGTAAGCCAAGACTAACATATCACTGCATCTACATATCAAGGCAATAAATCCCTTATAATTAGCATTTTCTGTGACTCATCCAGGTTTTTGCTCATTTTTAGCCACTGTATCTTCAGCTTCTTTCCTGTGGTCCTTGAGAATATCTGCTAGGAGGGCGGGGGGGTGGAGCCCCTCACCTCCCTCTCTTCTTTGACATTACAACTTTTAACTATTTTATTATTCCCAAATATTAATTCCTGTATCAATATTGATTACTGTTTCAATTTTTATCAGCACGAATCATACCTATTTGTCACACCACTCTTGGTGCCCTTTGTTGGCTGTTCATGAGCTCTTGTCTCGGGCTCCCACCTGGAGCTCAGCTTGCATCTGGCACTGCAGCTGCCCCAGCCACCCTGCACCAGGTGTGTTCACAACCAGGAAGGGCGAGTGGGAGGGTTACTTTTCCTTTCTCCATAGATTTCTTCATAGTTGGTGTCTGGTTTAAGGCAAATTTGGGAGAAAACCTCCAAAAGGGGGTCCCTCCAGAAAGCAAACCCACACGGCCCCTCCCCCCAGCCAGTTCAGGAAAGATTCCTCGGAGAAAAGTGGAAGTAACCTGTTTATTTAACCGGCAAAACACCCCCTAGCACACAAAATGAACAATACCCAGTGACACCTGTCAGAACCCAGAGCATCCCTCTGGCATTCCTGAGCAGCCCAGACCCCTTGCCAGGGGTCTCAGAGACCCTGGCACAGAGCCCAAGATGCCTGTGGTTTTGATTATGACCTGTGGAGCAAGTTACCAAACTTAGATCAAGATCTGCAAGCCATGAAAGTTTAAAAGAATGATAGTGAATTTTTCACAGCATGAAAAAGTAGATTTTGGGGTTTTTAGAATGAGGGTTCAGGCAGAAAGCTGGAGGAATCTGGGCATGTCCAGCCTTTCTCCTTCTTCTTGGCTTCCATCTTCTGCTGTGATGGTGGCACTTTTAGATTGGTTTAGACTAGAAGCTCACTGTCTAACATAGGTGATAGGTATTGGAAAGTAAATGTAAATATTGTACACATAGTTTTTATTATAAAGACATAACACCACCCTGGGGGCAGGCAGAGTGCCTTAGACTGTCTTGCTGAGCAGACCTCGGCAGGGCAGGAGAAAGAATTTTATATATAAGATACAATAAACAACCTTGAGACGGAGAAATGAAGAGCTCTGACTCCTTCTTCAACCGCCGGGCTGGGAAAAGAGACTTTCTAACGTGTATCAGGGTCATTCTGACCAGCTAGAGACTCTGAGAGACACCACTCTGAAAAGGATTACAAATTCAGAAAGTCTCTCTTGCGGATGGTCGCTCTGTTGTTGGTCCCTCC